CTGTATGGCTGAATCATGCTCCAGATGGGCGTGGCTTCGAAAGAATGACAAGTGGACATCATCAAGAAGCGAATGTCATCCTGTCCTTCCACGACAATGGAGGGCAAGTCATACAGACTCTGGAATACAAAGTTACGACATGTCCTATCATGAATTATCTTACCCAAGATTCTTATACTAGTTATACGATACTAGTTATGGTAAGGAAAGGGACTACCGCAATAAACACTATTTCCCAAGAATATCTTGTTTCATAGTTCAATTTCACAAACATGTTTGGGCCATTGTCAACGCTTCGGTTGTCAACAGTAAATTCTCCACATCGAAGGAAAGCACGGTATACAGCTTGCCTTCATCAAACATCCGAGTAAACATCAATAAAACCATCATCAAGCAAATGGCATATTTTGAAGAATGTTTACCAGACTCCCTCCTCTCTGTTCAATTTAACAACCTTGAATGCAATCATTACAGCAAGCTATCTTATCGATGTCGGGATGTATCATTCAGCCTTTAATAATCGTCAGTATGATTTGTGCCTCGGATAACGTTGATGCGAGATCACAAATCGTCTCCACATCTCTTTGTATGGCGGGATTAGCTACAATCATCCAATGTACCTTTGGAGTCAGGTATTTTAGTGTTAAACATTATGGTTTTCGTAAAAGGAATCGCCTGCTATAATAACAACAAACTGAACGATATTGAACATAGAAATTATACCTATAAAAGGACAGTAAATTATAAAATGATAAATGTCAGAAATTGAAACCATTGCAATTTTATCGTCAAATATCCACAAAATAGTGTGTATTGTATATTTTCTGTTGTAGGTTACCAATAATCCAAGGTGGCTCCAGCTCATTCTTCCCAGCCATAGCGGCCATCATGGCGCTGGAAAAATTGAGATGCAAACCCTTAGATCACATCTCGCTTGCTGTCAATAGTACGGGCACAAGTAAGTCGCATGTAGGTGGTCGAGGCGTGGGAGTTACTGTTGGATTACTGTTCGCGGATACTAAACATGTTTTGAATGGTCCAATAACTGGTCTGTCTTATCCAATACTCAGCCACCGTTCCGTCCATAATTGGGATATATTGGTCCGCAAAGATATCTCTATACCATTTGATCTGTTTTGTATTTCTTTTATCAGGACTAACAGCTACAGCTGTAATTGTAAATATATAAAATGTCACGTCTCGTTTCTCGTTTATTCATTTTTCATTTTAGATTCTTTGAACATGACAATTGTGGGAAATGCATCGCAGCCTTATAATCCAGAGATGTGGAAGCTAAGAGCATCCGAGGTAAATGCAGTTTCGATGTCATTTGCCACATTTGTGTTGAATCTGTAATTTTAATAAGGATACTTAATAGAACGATTCAAATCGAATAATGCTCAGATGTGTTTTCGCATATTGCATTGTGAACAGTGGTCCACACTAAAGAACTAAATGAACTTTCATCTCAGATTTCAGGATGTTTAATGATGGCGTCTCTTGTTCATATGGCGATAGGAGCAAGTGGGATTCTAGGATTAATACTGAAGTTTGTTGGACCTTTAACAATAACACCGGTCATCGCTCTGGTTGGTTTGTCATTGACAGATGCGGCATATCTTAACAGCCAATCTCAATGGGGCATCGCCTTTCTGTAAGTACACTCTGTGACGGTCCAATAAAGCTGAGTCCAGTAATTCATTACATATCATGATCATACGCACCCCCGCACCAAGTTTTATTTCACATCGGAACAAGTCAGTTTCAGAATCTGATTTTTCCTTACCTACCAAAAGATGGAATACGTTAAAATTTGGAATGGTTTAGTAAATGCAGAATCGTTTTGAAAAAACTGAATACAATCACGGGCTTTCAATAGAATGCCCATGATACAATGCTTCTTTAAAGAGTAAGTATAGGCCTACATATGTATGTACATAAAAATATGATGCCCTGTATCCTTCTTTCCGCAGGACTGCTGCACTTATTCTTCTATTTGCCGTGTACCTTGGTCGCGTGAAAGTACCAGTGCCCTCCTACAATAGGAAAGAAGGGTGTACAACCTCAAGATTCACTCTGTTTAGTCTCATAGCTGTAAGTTCAATCACGCCATTCATAAAAATTTTCATAGGAATCACTGATCTTCAAATTGTTTTCTCACATTTGTTCAAATAGCGTCCATATATATTGTTTGAAAATCGAATCCAACATGATGTCGTCCTGCATATTCTTTGTCAATCTTCCACTTAATTTTGTTCCCTTGGCACTTTTAAATTCTCCCTCCAATCTTCCCCTTCTTCGTGCTCGCTCCACACAGTTTCATGGCCAATCCTCTCCTAATCTTTATACCAATGCTAAATTCTTGGTGGCCAATCTTCAAATCATTATGTCCCTGTCTAACATGAAAAGAAAAGCAACACAATTCAAGCATTCACATTACTTTTGAACGTGTTGAAGTTGCTTAGACCTATAGGCTACAAATATTACATTTTCTCGCAGTATATCCTTGGCATTAGTATTGCTTGGGGATTTTGTGGAATCCTCACAGTTACTAACGTGTTCCCCGATGACCCTAACAGTCCTACATACAATGCAAGGACGGATGCAAGGGTACAGTCCATCAAAGAGGCTTCTTGGTTCTTTTTTCCATATCCTGGTAAGCGGAAATATCAAAGCACAAGTACTAAATGAGAAAACAAAACATTTCTTTCAAGCTGCGAGTCATTTTCATATGACACAGAAGAATTAAATCATGAATAATGTCGTCTTCATCATGTTTGACATTTGCTTATGGTTTCATTTTTACGTGGTGTTATTTCGTCATGTCAAGCATAACGCCTTGTTTTATTTCTTCTTAGGACAGTTTGGAAGACCTACATTTAACATCGGAGGGTTTGTTGGTATCCTAGCAGCAGTGTTGTGTTCTATTGTCGAGTCGGTTGCAGACTACAACACTGCAGCTAGAATTTGTGATATCCCTCCGCCGCCACAGCACGCCATTAATCGAGGTATTCTTATAGAAGGCATCGCTAGTCTCATTTCTGGCGCAGTTGGTGTTTGCCACGCAACGACTTCATACAGTGGCAATATCAGTGCCATTGGAATAACAAGAGTAAGTGTTCAGTTTAGCGGACATGGAAATTGATGAGAAAAGAATTGAACCTACTTTTGGAAAAGTGATTCCCTGAGGTTCTCGGGGACTTTTAGTCCGCCAATGTGTTGTTGTCCTTGCAGGTTATGTGCAAAATTTATGTGGCTACTCTTAAATCGTGACACTGTTGTTATAGGTTGGAAGTAGAATAGTTTTTCAACTAGCTGGAGGCATAATCCTGCTGGCTGGAATGTTTGGCAAATTTGGTGCTGTCATGGCGTGTATCCCCGATCCTGTGCTGGGTGGGTCAATCTTTGTCTCATTTTCTCTCCTTACGGCGCTCGGCTTATCAAGTATTCGATATGTTGATATGAGGTCAACAAGGAACCATGTAATTCTTGGAACAAGTCTTTTTGGAGGCTTGATGTCAGCCACGTGGATGAAGTTACATCCGGGTGTCATCAAAACAGGTGCGTAGTTTCGGAATTCATGTACATGTTTAAAACAAAAGAGTGAGTCAAGTCAATTTGTCTCCAAAATAAAAACATGTTATAAGTCAAGTCATTTTCAATCCCTTTGGATAAATCCACCTTGCATGGCTTGACTTGAAAATGTAAAACATATGTTAAAATATTGATGGCAGATTGCGTCATACGCCAGGGTAAAGTAGGTACGTAACACTCTACACGCTAGTGTTATTTCTAAAATATCTAAATCAGTAGTAGATTTGATTGACCATTTTACGGTCTAACACAGGCCTGTCCCGAATTTGAAAATCCGAAAAACAAGCTTGATGAACTGGCATGACATCTCATTAAACGTCCTTAAAATTTTGATTTTTCAGGAAGTTCCGAGATTGATCAGTTACTCGATGTTTTCTTTGGTACAGCAATGTTTGTAGGTGGGACATTTGGATTTGTACTTGATAACACTGTCCCCGGTAAGTAACATATCGCGTACCATAAATCATGGGTTTCCTCAGTACTTCTCTTATATATGACAGTGTTTAAGAAATCATGCTATTTCAAAATGTACATTTTATCACAAATCTGTCGTGAGACGAAAATAAATAAATAGATGAAATAAAAAATATAAATATAGAATTTTCCAATCATAACGGTATGTTTTTGTACTCGTTGTTCGAATACATCTTACATAGCATGCATCAGATCATATGTTGAGTTATTTGGGTTTTCCTCATTACTTCTGATTATGCTTGTTGATATTTCTTTTTCCTGTTTTTTGTTGTTATTCTTTGTTCCTCATTGTTGGCATTAGTGCTTAAAAGTAGGTTCCCAAACTCTAACGCAAATATATATTAAAGGTCACATTGGTATAATCAATAATTAGGTCTCCCATAGTTAACTTAATTCCAAATATATAAAATTGTTTTGTTATACCTGAAAATGTACTGGTTTACGGATGTCCTAAAGATAATATGATTTTATGTTTTCGATATAGATTTTCCAATTGTGATTTACAATCGCCCATGATGTATTAAAGGGATTATATCTCTAACTCTAATCCCAAATAACCCTAGAATACATTTATGTTTAAATCACAATGATTTTAACTCACAAACTCATTAAACTTGGACATAAACCTCATTTCCTTTAATTATTGAAGCTTGAAAATAATGTTAATGTAATTGAATTCGTTGTCTTTTAAAATTGGAAAAGTGCAAGTAGTTTATCCAATCTAGAGGTGAGGTTGTCATTTTGCTGCTTACGAGATGAGGATTTGTTTTAAAGCATTTGCCAATTTCAGAAAAAAGATTGCTGTCCAAGTATATTGATTGTGTAGGACTAAGTCACACATCATTATGAATCAAAACTATATATTGGCCCTTTAATGACCGTGTGAAGTTATTTGTTTCAAAAGACATATGCTGTATTCTATTACTTCATTAGGTACACCAGAAGAACGCGGTCTTGTTGCCTGGAGACAAGATCATGATATCAAAAAAGACGAAAGCAACAACAGCATAGCAGAAAGTGAGAACAAGACATACGATTTGCCACTCATAACACCTTGCTTAAAGCGTACCTCAATGTGCGCCTGTGTTCCATTTTTACCATCATTCGAACCATCTGTAATATTTGAAAGATGTCGCAGGAAAAGAGATAAAAGAAGTCAGAATGATACAGAACAAGAAATGGGATTGGTAAATAACCCGTAGAGATTCTGTCCACGATAGATGAAACAGAAATACTGCAGTGTGGGAATACTAAACATTTTATCCTAAGTGTAGCCACGTGTGGATCAAGGTTACCCCCATAAATGTGTGGTTGATTTTCCAAATGGCCTCCACAACTTCTTGTGTAGGCCTATTGAAATCATGCGGTGGAAAATGAGCTAGATTAGTTATTAGTTATTTAGATAAAAAGCTTTGTGTCAACTACTGACAGCATTTTAAAACCCCAAGATTTCAATACATAAATCGTTGTGTGGGTGATTTGAAAAATATCACGTTGAAAATAGGGACCACTAGATTGTATTGTGTTCGATACTTTATACAGGTTATGCTCAACCTAGGTACCACTAGATTATATTGTGTTCGATACTATATACATGTACATGTCAGTTTCAACAAAGATACCACTAAATTGCATTCTGTTCGACACTTTATACATGTCAGGTTCAACAAAGGGACCACTAGATTGTGTTCGATACTTTTATACATATTAGGTTCAACATAGGGACCACTAGATTGTATAGTGTGATATTTTATACATGCTAGGTTCAACAAAAGGACCACTGGATTGTATTGTGCTCGATACTTTATACATGTTAGGTTCAAGATAGGGACCACGAGATTGTATTGTTTTCTATACTTTATATATGCAAGGTTCAATAAGAGACCGATAGAGTGTGTTCGATACTTATTACATGTTTGGTTCAACATATGGACCACTAGATTTTTATTTAATACTTTATACATGTTAGGTTCAACGTAGGGACCACGTGATTGTATTGTGTTCGATATTTTATACATGTCAGGTTCAACAATGGGACCATTAGATTGTGTTGGATACTTTATATATGTTAGTTTCAACATAAGGATCACTAGATTGTATTGTTTTCTATACTTTATACATGCAAGGTTCAATAAGGGACTGATAGAGTGTGTTCGATACTTAATACATGTTTGGTTCAACATAGGGACCACTAGATTGTATTCAATACTTTATACATTATAGGTTCAACGTAGGGACCAGTAGATTGTATTCGATACTTTACACATGTTAGGTTCAACAAAGGGACCAGTAGATTGTGTTGGATACTTTATACATGATAGACATAGGGTTCAACAAAGGGACCACGTGATTGTATTGTGTTCGATACTTTACACATGTTAGGTTCAACAAAGGGACCAGTAGATTGTATTCGATACTTTATACATGTTAGGTTCAACAAAGGGACCAGTAGATTGTGTTGGATACTTTATACATGATAGACATAGGGTTCAACAAAGGGACCACGTGATTGTATTGTGTTCGATACTTTACACATGTTAGGTTCAACAAAGGGACCAGTAGATTGTGTTGGATACTTTATACATGATAGACATAGGGTTCAACAAAGGGACCACGTGATTGTATTGTGTTCGATACTTTACACATGTTAGGTTCAACAAAGGGACCAGTAGATTGTATTCGATACTTTATACATGTTAGGTTCAACAAAGGGACCAGTAGATTGTGTTGGATACTTTATACATGATAGACATAGGGTTCAACAAAGGGACCACGTGATTGTATTGTGTTCGATACTTTACACATGTTAGGTTCAACAAAGGGACCAGTAGATTGTATTCGATACTTTATACATGTTAGGTTCAACAAAGGGACCAGTAGATTGTATTCGATACTTTACACATGTTAGGTTCAACAAAGGGACCAGTAGATTGTGTTGGATACTTTATACATGATAGACATAGGGTTCAACAAAGGGACCACGTGATTGTATTGTGTTCGATACTTTACACATGTTAGGTTCAACAAAGGGACCAGTAGATTGTATTCGATACTTTATACATGTTAGGTTCAACAAAGGGACCAGTAGATTGTATTCGATACTTTACACATGTTAGGTTCAACAAAGGGACCAGTAGATTGTGTTGGATACTTTATACATGATAGACATAGGGTTCAACAAAGGGACCACGTGATTGTATTGTGTTCGATACTTTACACATGTTAGGTTCAACAAAGGGACCAGTAGATTGTATTCGATACTTTATACATGTTAGGTTCAACAAAGGGACCAGTAGATTGTTTTCGATACTTTATACATGATAGACATAGGGTTCAACATAGGGACCACTAGATTGTATTGTATTCAATACTTTTTACATGTTTGGTTCAACAAAGGGACCACTAGATTGGACTATATTACAGTTTAAATTGTTCCTTCGAGTTCTTTTTTATAGGAAATTCATTGTACCAAAGTCGACACTTGAATTGTTTGGGAGGGTATTGTGCTTGTGATCATGAATGAAGGGTACCCGTCTTGTGTATGCTTTATATTATGTGAAGGGAGTATCAGAGTCTCAATTTCAGAATATTTGTCTACCAGGATTAATTGTAAGGACGTACTGTTTCTTTAAAAATCCCCAAACCTCAAACCAAAGAGCAAAGAATATAATATGCAGAAAATAACATGTAATGTTTTTATTTCTAATTTCTAGTTTGCCTACATCAAAAATATTTATACGTAGATACGTGAAAAGGATTTACATATATGGAAAAATGGTTTGAGATATCTAATATAACAATCTTCCAAAGATGGTTTACAGAGAGAAAATCACGAAGTTTGGTTTCTAAACCAAGGATTATGTATAAATCCAGGCATTGTAGAATTTCAGAATTGTATATTCTATCATTTATAAAACTGATTTTTGATCAGTATTAGCGATACAACATCCCAAAGTTTTTCATCAAATCCCCAAGGGTCATGCATTTAAGAAATATTTTATGAAAATTGCTTGGTAAATGATGTTACTTAGACAATTTTCAAATGTGAGTCATCAATTGCAAAAAATTACTTGATGTGGACATCCAAGATGGCTGCCAAAATTAATATGTTACTATTAATGTAAGCTCGAAGAACAGTTGAGACCATGTAGGTTACAATGGTCACAAACTTTAATTATGTCTTAAACTAAGTCATCAAATGATTCTTTTATTTGGATATGCAGAATGGCTACCAAAATGGCTGCCAAAATGAATAATTATAGTTATGTTGGATAACATATTTATTTTGATATCCAAGATGGCCATATAGTGGGTTGTACCATCTCAATTGTACTCTCCATCACCGCTTTGAACTAGATCCTGAAATCAGGAGAGTTCTAATGTAAAGGTCGCAAAGGGAATCAGGAATCAGCTCTGGACATTAGACCAAGTTAAACTTTAGTGTATCCTGAGAGCTCTAACTGACCCAATGCCAACTCCTTTGAACCTAAAGACCTGAGGAAAAGAAGAATCTGATACATGCTTTGAAATGCAATTGTTCCCTCAATCATATCTTAATACCCGGGTATAATCAGTTGGCAACGGTCAGTACTGCAGGTGGCATGATTAAGTGCTGCGGGTCATTTCAAATAGGTTGACACCAAATAGCTAGAGGTTAACAAGGGGATCCATTACAACCAGTTTTTTATCCAGTTAGAAAGACAATCTAAGTTCTCAATCCAAGTTCACAATTACACAGAAGATAATACTGACATCTTAATTGGACTGAAGTCTGCCAGGTGGAAGGTAAGATACCTTCCAGTAGAAGTAGGCTTTAGATGCTTCCAAGTTTATTCTCTGAACATCATGCTGAGAGAACTAGGTCTGCAGCCTGTCAACTTCAAGTTGGCAATACAGGAAATAGGTTGCATGGTTGAATCATGCTCCATATGAATGTGACAATGACGAAATGACAAAAGAATAACATCCTCAGAAGCCTAGTCATCTCAGTTTTCGATTAGAAATTGAAAACTTCAACTGCGGCATCTTTCAATCAAATCAGGTATGATTCTTAATGCCCAGAGAATGAACTTCTGATGATGGACAATGACTACTGGAACAAATCTCAAACACTTGTCCTTGACCTTGGTGTTTTACTTAAAGAGAACACCAGAGCATGAATGTGTTTATGTAGATCAAATGTAGCTTCTTATTTACAAAAAAAAAAAAAAAAAAAATGAAACAAAAAGAAACCACTGTAAAAGAAAAGCTTAATGAAAAAGAAAAACATAAGAAAGCATATTAATAAGGGGAATGGAGAAAATAAGAACAAGAACACAAAAGTGTACAACATGCCCCCACTAAAGGGCAATCCTATATTTTTTTCATCCTAAATGCCAAACATTAATCAGTTGAAGAAAACATTTTAGAAAAAAAATTCAAAATGGCCGCCTTCCCCTTTTCCAAAAACCCCAAAAGGCAGTCAGTTTGATATTTTCTAACACAACTTCAAGGTCAAAATGGCGGAGGACGCAACTCAACAAAGCTCTCCCGATTTATCTGATCTGGACCCTTCCTTGGAGCGCCTACTCGTACAATGCGAGGCTCGTCCAAGATATGAGATTACTGAGAACATTTTTATGGATTATGATGACCAGATGCTTCTGGATGAAAGAGATATTCTCTTCAAATTGGCAGCACGGATTTTGGACAAAAAGTGCACGTTGATATATGGGCCTGCGTCAGCCCGTGGATTAGAACAAACATTGGATATAAAGCCCAAGAAAAGGACTGGGGAGTCAAAGAAGATAAGTATCTGTAATGATATTTTTGAATTATACATATACGTTAGGGGGCTAGTAAAAGACTTCCCGAGATCTGTATTAGGGACTTCAAGCAAAATTCCTGATAATATTGCCCTTACAAATACAAGTCAAACAAGGCCTGCAATCATACAGCCGTCCCTTTTGGACTTATCAGCCAAATATACAGAATTATCTATGGATTATAGAAATATATCTATGGAACTTGAATCTTTGAAACAAAGTTATGAGGGGAAAATCAACAAAATGAACACCGAAATAAACTGTTTAAGGGATGAAATAGGTCAATTGAAAGGTGCAATAAACGCTAGTAATATACACGCGAAAGTGGTTGATGTAAAAGGATTAACCCCAGGCAACACTCAATGTAGCCCAATAGCCAATAATGTGGTCTCAGTCGACAAAGGCCCATGTACGAATGTCGGTGAAACAACGGGATTACGCCCACGAAACATTTTGTGTATCACTAAGGACACACACTCAGTTAAAAACATTCGGGATATTAACGAGGTCACGCAAACCTTACTGCGCCATTCGACAAATGTAAACAATGCCAGCGAAATCCAAGATGGCGGTATAGCGACACAGGCGAAAACCGCGTCGTCTGAACTTGTACCTGAAGTACCATGCTCTACAGACCTTCAGAAGTCCAATAATACAAACATCAAATCAAACACGAACACAGAGGATCCTGATTCAACAGACATAGAAATAATACGACAAGACATAGTCGATCATGACACAAACAAATCTTCAGAAGATAAATGGACCGTCGTGAGAAACGTGAAAAATAGAAATAGACCGAAGAGTGCGCCAACAAACGGACAACATACAGGTAACCATACCCCAGTGAAACCACTCACATATTCTAGAGTGGTTGAAATGTCTAAACAATCGAAGCCAAAATCACTCACGAAACCTACTATGCAATCTGGACCGTCCAAGCAGATGAAACCTGCGCGTAGTTTGCGAGGAGTATGCGTTACTAAAACGACAACTCTTTACCTAGAGAATATTGCTAAAGATGAGTGTGAATCTGATGATGACATTGTCTTACAAGTTAAGGACTACGCAACAACCAAAGGCATTTCAATCCATCAATGCTACGTTGTTCATAATAAAGTGTCGACATTACGCGTTGGCTGTAAGATCACAGTCCCAGTCGATCAGATTGTCAGAGCACTCAAAGTGGAAACCTGGCCGGACCCTGTTGTATGCAGAAAATGGGAATATAAGCGCAAAAAGACGTCATATGGTACATTTAAGAGGTCCTTGGATTATCCAGCCATCGACAATGACACAGACTACGATCTACATGAAGACATATATGAATCTACAAATGAATATTACAGACAGTCAGTATGGGATAATGATGGAAACAATCGCATATTTAAACATGATGAATCCCAATGGTAACGTTAAAACAACCACTAACTATCACCTGCTGGAATGCTAACGGACTCTCTGCTTCAAGTCCATATCTTAAGTCATTATTGTCATCATCTGATATTGTATGCTTGAGTGAACATTGGCTTTATGAAAGTGGTCTTGAAAAGCTAGACTCTTATGATAATAACTTTGTTTCTTATGGTATTAGTAGTAAATCTTTAGATTCATTGAATCAAGGACACTCAATTGGTAATGGTGGAGTGGCAATTATGTGGAAAAAATCTCTCTCGAACAGTATTTTTCCCTTGAAAAAGATTAACAATGATAGATTTGCTATTGTTAAGATACTGCAACCAGGATCAAAGTTGTTATATCTCATTTCCTTATATTTACCACAACGTAACTGCAAAACCTCACATTTTTCAGATGTGCTAGATGAACTTGAAGATGTCATATGTTCTTTAAAACAGGATGGCGACGTTATGCTAATGGGTGACACCAATGCTAGCATGGGGTGTCTATATGGTGTTCGTGGTAATGGTGAGATTAGTAGAAATGGAATTTTATTGAAAAACATGTGTTTACGATGTAACCTTAAAATTGTAGATTTAACTAGCAAATGTACTGGTCCTGACTACACGTTCTTTCGAGAAAATGTTGGTAAATCATATATAGACCACTGTATCATTTCTCTAGAATGTATGAACACGGTGAAATCCGTATGTGTGTTAGACGATGAATTGTTGAATAATTCTGATCACCTTCCCTTGCAGACTGTTATAGAAGTTTTCATTCCGGTGCCAATCACATCGTCAACCAATGACTGCAACCCAGTGAAACTAGCTTGGAATCGCCTTGACAATAATTCTATTTATGAGAGCTATACTAGGCAACTAACGGATCAACTGGAACCTTTAAGACATCGGCTGAGTGAAACCGTAGCAGGACGTGTTTTGACATCTGCCGAGATTGAATCCGGTTTTAATGATCTATCGTCTGTACTAATCACAGTATCATCAAAGTCAATACCCCATAAACGTTTCAGAAAACATTTGAAGCCTTACTGGACAGACGTTTTAAAGAGTTTATCTGCTGATAAAAAGATGGCGCTGAGAACATGGATACAAAACGGCCGCCCAAGAGACTCGAATAACATCCACTGGACACGATATAAAGATGCCAAACGAACGTTGAGAAGGGAACTACGTATTGCTGAGTATAGATATGAGCATGAGTGTCAGCAGGAAATAGACCGCGCTGCTGAGATCAGTATGAAACAATTCTGGTTTCTAGTTAAGCAGCGTCGGGGTAGGACCAACAGTTCTTATTCTATCCGGAATGATGATGAAACTATCTTAACTAATAATGAGGACATTCGGGAGGAGTGGATGAAATACTTTAGTACCCTAATGGCCATCAAAGAGGAAAAAGATTTTGACAACAACCATGAGAAACATGTAAACGAGAGACTGAAGGAGATGATTGAAGAAAGTACCAGAAACAATGATGGATCGTTTACAGATGAGATAGATGATAATGAAATGGAGGAGTTGATAAAGGGACTATCTAAAAATAAGGCTACCGGATGGGATGAAATAAGCTCAGAGCACCTGTATCATGGAGGCACACTGGTCATCAACATACTAACGACCCTCTTTAACCAACTCGTGAAAACTGAATACGTACCTGCTAGCTTCAGACTTGGTGTATTGATCCCCATCTTCAAGGGTGGCAACAAAGACACACTTGAGAAGGATAACCATAGAGGGATAACCCTAATAACCACATACATGAAGATCCTCGAGAAACTAATGGTCACAAGGAGCAAAAGGTGCAACCAGACTGAGGAGACATCCCAAATGCAGGCTGCCAATAAGAAAAGGACGTCATGTATTGACGCATCATTTCTGACACGCGAAGCTATCGCCCATGGGCTAGAAAATGGCGAAGATGTCATTTTGGTGTCAGCTGACATCAGAAAAGCTTTCGATACCGTATGGCAAGAAGGGCTGCTCTACAAGGTGTATAACAGTGGCATAAATGGCAAACTATGGCGGTTACTAAAATTGTGCTATGATAACTTTAAGTGCGCTGTTCGCTGTGGAAATGATGGTAAGCTGTCAGAACAGTTCATCGTATCACAGGGAGTCCATCAGGGCGGGCTGTACTCGATGGAATTGTACCTTAAGTACATGAACGACCTTCTCATTGAAGTCGAGGAGTGCGGCAAGGGTGCATCAATAGGTGACATAGTATGCACCTGCCCTTCATATGCGGACGACACTGTAATAATAGGATATCACCAGGAGTCCGTTCAAAGCGTAATCAATATATTACATGAATACGCAATGAAATGGAGGTTTAGATACCATCCTGATAAATGCCAAGTCATCACATTTAGCAACAAAAGAACTATGGCAAAGCAAATAGAACTTACACTAGGGAACACGATTCTCCCAACTGTTAATACCTTGCAGCATGTAGGTCTACCACTGTCAAATGTCAACAGCAACACAAGTTTAATTGATAACAGACTGTCAAAAGGAAGACGTGCTATGAACGCCTATGTAGGGACGACCAATTTCATACGTAATCCTACAAACCCTTTAACAGCAGCCAAACTGTATTGGACAGTAAGCGTCCCGTCAATATCGTACGGGATGGAGCTTATACCATTAACGGATAACGACTACATGAACATTGACAAGGGCCACAGAGGCATCGCCAAGAAGTTACAAGGACTCCCTTCCAACACGCCTGATGTGGCTGTTCTCCCACAGCTTGGATGGAGCAGCCTCACTTCTACCATTGTCATCGCTAAACTGATGTTTCTATGGCACCTACTGACAATGATAACGGGTAATGTGTTCAGAAGCATCGCCATAAAGCGTATAACAGCCTTTAAAATGGGATACAAAATGAACCAGATGTCTCCCATAAATGATATTATGAAGTTAGCCGTAAGGTACGGATTGGCACAGATTATCTATGATGCGATGGACCATGATACAATACCGTCCAAACTGAATTGGAAACGATCTGTGAAAACTTGTATTAAAGAATATGAATTGTTACACTGGAGACGTCAACTGAATACATACAATAACCAACTTGATTTATTCAGAGAAATCACACAGGATATAAGACCCATCGTTTGGTGGATACTAGCAAGAGATGACTCGAGATTTATCAGAAGATGTTCTCTTATGGTGAAGTTATTGACTGGACAGGGACTCTTTAGAACAAATACAGGAGCCTCGGACTATATAGCAAACAGTGAGAGAACATGCCCAACCTGCAACGTGATAGAGACTCTTGAGCATTTCATCTTAGTATGTGAGAGATACGAGCAATTACGAGGCAACATTCGGCGCATTCTTAATATAGTATCCAATGGCCCACCTTTATCCAGAGCAATGCAGATGAAGATATGTTTTGGAGGAACTACAGTAACTGACCTAGATGATTTAAAACTAATTTCTACAGACGTTCAGAAGATGTATATTGCAAGGGCAGGGGAGTAGTTTGACATGTGATTGGCACCTAGGAGCATTAAATCTATATTTTATACATACTTAACGCCGATGACAGTACGTAATAACACGACCTTTGATATATGAAAAAGGCAATAATGCCCATGAACATAGTATCTATTGTATTTTGTATATAGTACTATTTGGAAGAAGTAAATTTCATGCAATGGCAAAGGGAAGTATGCATTGTAATTGGCAACGAGATGCATTTATGTGATATCATATTTTATTGTTTTAACCGTTTCAACAAGTACGACAGAAGTCAGAATGATGTTTTAAATATGGCCCACTTCTCAACGAGGGAAGCATCGACCTTGGGGAAGATGTCCGCCTGAGTGGAGAAGATGGGCCATGAATTCAGCGTACCTTGTGTCGACATCCAAATCTTATATTATATTTTATATTTTTATATTCATTATATTTTTGTCAGACAATATTATTAATTATCTCCAATAATGGAGGGAAAATAAATATAATAATAATAATAATAATAATAACACAGAATCATTGCTGAAAATTTGAGATTGATTTGTCAAACAATTGGCCTGGAAATGCGTAGACAAGACTTTACAAACAAGATTTTAGGACAGAAAATCCAAAATGGCCACCTTAACATTCACCAAGAATGCCAAAAATCCAGAATCTCATACTAAGAATCATCCCTCAAAATTGGAAATTGAACCGTGAAATGGTAAAAAGTGACAGGCATTTCAAAAATTAGCGTTTATGGCAAACACTATGGAGACATTGACATATGTCTACTTTGGGGGGCCCCAATACTTTCTAGACACCCTGTATATACTGTCACAAATCTCAGACTTGCCAAACTAAAACCTAAAAATTTTCGGGAGATTTAAAAAAATTGCGGTACTTTTACCGGAGTTTTTTCAAAATCCTGTAGTTTTTGGGGGAGTTTTTTGAAAAAAAAACGGGAGTTTTTACGGGAGATTTTTGAAAAAACGGTAGTTTTTACGGGAGATTTAAAAAAACTAGAGTTTTTGCGGTAAATTTTGAAAAAAAAACGGGAGTTATTACGGGAGATTTGGAAAAAACGGGAGTTTTTACGGGAGATTTTTTAAAAAAGGTATTTTTCGCGGTAAATCTAAAAAACGTGACTTTTTTTATGAAAGATTTCAGGAAAAAACGGGACTTTTTGCAGTAGGTTCTGAAAAAAACGGGAGTTTTTACGGTTGGTTTTGAAAATACTGGAGTTTTTGCGGTAGATTTTAAAAAACGGGAGTTTTTACGGTAGATTTCTGGAAAAACGGGAGTTTTTACGGTAGATTATGAAAAAACGGGAGTTTTTACGGTAGATTTCGGAAGAACGGGAGTTTTTACGGTAGATTTCGGAAAAAAACGGGAGTTTTTACTGTAGATTTTGAAAAAACTGGAGTTTTTACGGTAGATTTCTGAAAAACGGGAGTTTTAACGGAAGATTTCGGAAAAACGGGAGTTCTTACGGTAGGTTTCTGAAAAACTGGTGTTTTTACGGTGGATTTTGAAAAAGACGTGAGTTTTTACGGTAGATTTCTGAAAAAACGGGAGTTTTTACGGTAGATTTTGAAAACGAATTGATCAAAGTAAAATGTATATGTGGCGTTCACTATATGCTAAGGGCAATCTGCGTGAGGTTCCATTTTTAGGTT